AAGCCACGTTAGCAAAAGCATACAATGATATATACAATGGAAAATATAGACATATTAGTCTTAAATATGACTACATCGGGAAATTAATCAAAGATGGAATGATTTTCCTAAATTATGTTAAGTCAATTGAAAATTTAGCGGATCATTTAACTAAACCTCTAAAGAGAGTTTTAGTGGCGTCTACTTTGAGTAAAATGGGGTTGAAACTCTTGAACTAAAGATCCATCAATGATAACAACCCTACCTGTCATTACTTATCAAGTAATCCACAGGTTCAAAGGGTAACAACAAATCATTCGATATATGGATAATTTCAGCATTATATAATCACCAATAACCCTATTATAATTAAATAATGCTGGTTGTTACTGAAATGAGGGTTGAGTTTTAAAGCTCTTAATGAAGTTCAGTACCAAGTACAAGTATCTCTAAAAGTAACAAATATATTGAAAGAATTTCGCCTATATAAACTTCGAGGTGATGCAGCTTCAATAGAGAGTTAGAGTTTATATCTTAAAAGTTTGTTGAAAATGAGGAATGTAAGGTCATATTAGCGCTAAGCGAGATTGAGGAACTTGAGAACGCGTAATACTTGTGTGTGTGTGTTCTTACTGTTACTGTCATATGGAATAATTGGTTCAAAACTTTCATGCTACCTTTAATTCCTACTTTACTTTGTTTGAATTACACTATGGTTAGATTCAAATCGAAAGATATCTAATCCTTATGTATAAGTATTATATATTTTGAATATAAGATTTTATTAAATTTTGAACAAGTGGGGGATTGATGCAAATATTGTTCAAAATCAATAAACAAAAGGATTTGGAATGCAAATGGATGTTTGAGGCCATATTGATGAACTATGCGGTTCAAGGCCATATTAATGAACTATGTGACCACATAGTTCAATATATCATGCGGTCACATAGCCATATACCGGGATTGGTGGCCCCAGGGCTGCATTAACTATGCGGTCGCATAGGTTTGGCCTATGCGATCGAATAGAGATAAAATGTAGCCATTTATGGTCATTGATGTTTGAATTTTGATGGCTTTTCATCTGATTTTGGAACCAAGGACGGAGCCCAATAAGGCCTAGGGTGGGCACAGGCCCATCCTGAACTTCTAGGCTCAATTTGTTTTTAGTTGAAATTGCTAGACATGGGATCTAAATAAGCAGGCATAAATGGCCTAAGCCCAAATCCCTCAGAATTAAAATCTGGAGGAATATGGCCATTTGAGAATCTCCCCGTGGGTTTCCCACCAAAGAAATCTCGACCATATGGCCTAAAATTGCTCTTCAACACAGTCGAAATCTGATTATTATTCCCAGCATCAACAGATGAATCTCCAAACACTAAAATGGTTGGAACTTTTGCTGCACCAGTGTGATTAACAAAAAAAGTTGCGACAAAAACAGCGATGGTTACGTACACACATTCCATCTGTTTGTCCTTTTTTTGTCTCAAGAAACAAATTAAGTGAGCTTTTATACTGAACTGGAAATGAGATATCAATAAAAATGGAGGGGAAGTTCTAAAATCAGATTGGAAGTTTANATTTGGTGGCTTGATGTTAAATAAAGTGGTAATTACACAAAACATTGCTTTATGTATCAACATTTCCAAAATCAGATTTGAAGTTTCACATTTCCAAAATCAGATATTTTATTTTAATTAATATTTTTATAAAATAAATATTTTTACTACCCTAATTCATTTCCAAAACAAAAATCATTTCCTTTCTCTCTCTACCCCCTCCCTTATCTCTCTCTCCTCTCATTCACTATCTACCAATTCCGGCGGGGGAAGATGAGAAGGCGCTTCATCGGAGGAGCGTCACCGGCGACAGACGGTGAATCCAACGCCGCGATCGGTGTAATTCTTCCTCTAGAACTCAGGATCATTGAAAGTCCAAGATTTTGAAGTTGACCCACTTGTGCTTTTGCCTTTCTTGAGCTTCCAGTCCTTCGGCGGTGGTGGGCCTAGAACCGCCGGCGGCACAGTTGGCCCCAGAGGAGACGGCGGCGCTACATAATAATAAGAAGAAGAAGAAGCATATGGAGTACTGTACGACCAGAAATCATTAGGACTGGCAGAGGGGCGTCCATAATAAAGCTCTATCTGCATTCTGTTATCATTATAGGTCTTTAATCTATAATCCTCCATAGGTTTCTTGAAATTTTTCTTGATGGGTGGAGAAAGTTTGAAGCTTGACTTCAAATTTTTTGGCATCAAATTTGTACAGAGGTCAAGCCAAACTAAACTGTCAGGCAAATAAAAAAAATGAAATGGCTATATAATTTTGATTTTGAAATTCCTCTTTGCTGGTGGGATTGATTCTAGATGCCATTTAATATAGGAAGTCAACTTGATACAGCACAATTTGGTTTGAATTTTTCAACTAAAAGAACCTTGTTGTTTATTTTATTTTATTTTTTTTAAAAAAACACAAAACTTAGAAAGTGATTCAGATGAGCTGGTTCAGTTGAATTGTAGGCCTAAACCTTC